CTTCTATCACTAAACCACTATTATCTACAAAAAATATTTTCTGGCTTCAGAGGTTTGATAAGTCATTGAAAGTGAATCAACCAACCAATATAAAAATTGAATTGTGAAGAGAATCAGGAGCTTTGAAAAATGGAGAAACTTGTAGAAAAAAAATGATTTTTCAACTGAGTTTGTTTGGGAAAGCATTGAAATCTTCAGGAAGAATCATCACCATTGTATGGTTAATGGAACAAATAACTATAAGTAGAACTTAATAATAATAATTATAATTATAATAATAAAAACAGATTCTCCACATGGTGTAAAAGTACCAAGTTGACATCCATGGCTCTTCACTACTTCCTGTCCTTTGTAGCCCTTAGTAAAATTTGTCTTTTTGCTATCTCTCCTAAATTGTATTCTGCCAACCATTTACACAAGTTCATTAGGTAGGTTATGAGTTACTCTTCTCTGTTCCTCTTTCCCGATGTCCAGTGGGATATAACCATATCTCATGGGCAGGAGGGTCTCTTTGGCCTTGACCAGTGGTCTACCTAGAGGTAAATATCTTGATAAAAGCACTGGTGGTAGTGCAACCTTAAGTTCACTAACCTTCATATCATGAATGAATTGTCTAATCAAAATATTGAAAATAATGGCATGACTGGTATGAGAACCAATAGTGAAGATACCTCACTCAGCAGATGTCCCATTCCACAGCAGGATGGACATGGTCATCATCCTCCTACTGCTAGAGTGAGGGAAATCAAATTGTAGATCTCCAGAAAACTGGCATCATTTACTCTGCAAGGATTCTCCAAAAGCTCTTGAGTTATGACGAGTCTTGTTAACATCATGCCTCAAGGACAGAATTTCAATTGACTATATCAGTGCATGTCATCATTATAATAGTAATAATAATAATAATAGAGTTTTATCCATATAAAATGTGCGTGATCTTTGAAGGATTTTTTTTGCTTAAATGATCTGTGGAAAATGTCATGATGCCATTTTTGGTCTTAGGTCTCTGATTGGAAACCCAGAAAGAAATGTGTATAGAACAGAAATCAAAGGAAATAATAATAATTGCAACTGAATGTAAAACTTGGCATGATAGAGTGGGCCAATATCTGCACTGAAAAATATGCCATTTTTATGGGAATAAAACTGTAAGAAACTAGTAATAACATCACCCAGCAACGCAAAAGGAAAGATGCTAGTTAGACTGTTCACATTCCCCTCACCATGCTCATCTAGAGCAATAGATTAAAACCAAAATAAAATTTGTCTGCTTACAAATAGACACATGGTTCTAGATCATTAATGATGATTTTTGAGCCACAAGCGTTTGACTGAAAGAAGCTGCATCCTCAGAATGAACCTAATGTTGGGTCTAAGCTGCAATGCTACATGGAATTCACTCCTGAGGGGATGCTTCCTGATCATTACAATATTATTCTTTTAAATTGAGGGTCAACCATTATCTATCCTACATATCCTCATAATATGCAAACCTTGCTCCTTCCCTACAGCTCTTACAACATTCAGTAGCCTCCTTAGTTAATACTAGTTATTATTGGAGTACTAGGAACAGTCCTAAAGAAAGAAGGATAAAGGTGGGAAGAACTGGAAATCAGGGGAAGAGTCAGAATAATAAGATTGTTGAAATCAGCCATGGACCATAAGAAGAGTGCTGAAGCATTGAGTTGACTTGCTGTTAGTTAATCTCCAGTGTACACTACCATTCATTTCTGGTGTAAACACTTTATGAGTGAATAATAATAATAATAATAATAATAATAATAATTGTCCTCATTATCATTGAGGTGTTGGGATCTATACCATTGGACCAAAAGCCTTACATTAAGAAAATTGGAACAAAGCTAGTATCCCATTGCTTCAGAAATTTGCATTCCTAGGTTCTGCAAATATTCTGTGAAAGGTGCTATCTATTTGACAAATGAGTGCATGTCCTCAAGTGATGAGGTTTCTGTTATTTGGTTCAGTTCTTTCTTTAGGATTCTGTAGCATCAATCTAAACGTTTCAAAGAAGTGTGCTCTTTGCTAAGGCTGATAGCTTTTGTTATAATAAGCATTTGGTTGGGAAAGGAGAAGAATAATAAGGAATAGGTTTTTGAAAAACGTGTATTTGTTTAAAATATAAGATGTCTTACAGAGTTGTCAGAAAATAGGCAAAATGCCAATTTTGGTTGCTGATTATCAAGATGGGGATTAGGTGTAAGGGTAGTGCCAGGAATTGATTGATTTCTTTGGTTGGTTTGATCAAGGTCCCCAGATATAGTCATTGGTTGGGTCTGACACATGTCTTGGTCAATTGAGTTTCCAGTATTGGGTTGTAGTAGTGTGCGTTGGTTGCTGAGGTGACAAGGGATTGGTGTACTAGTAGGCCTGTGTAGTACAAAACAGGGTTGCATGCTTGCAGAGTCAGAGTTGCTTGCTTGCCTTATGGTTGCAGAGTCGGAATCACTTGTTTGTGGAGTCGAAGTTGTGATGCTGAAGTGACTGTAATGGCAATGAGGAAGGCTTCTAGCTTGGTGGTGACAATGTTGAGATGATATTCTGGATTCTGTGCATGAAGAGTCAGGTGATTAGTCAAGTTATGGAGTGGTTACAGTCACTGCATGTCAGCAGATGGCCTGACAACCCGTAAATGATAGTGGTTGTTATGGGCAGCCAGCTTTTAAGGAGATCTGGCAGTCCCCATGGGCATCTTCTTTTCCTGTGGGAATTTTCATGATTGGCCAGTGTTGCTTTCATTGTGGGGGCTTGCTTCATGAACCGGATGTGATGCTTAGAGCTTATGCACAAAAAACAACTTTTTTTATTTTGTTATCTGCCTTCATGGCATTCACATCCTTCCAGCATATGGAATGAATGAAAAAGAGATCTAATTGCAACGGAGTATAACAATTTCATTCATTCAAAGCCATTTTTAATTATTGACCAATTTCTTTTATATTTGATACTCTTGTATACAGCCTACAGTTTAGATATTTGATGCATGAGCATGACATCCATTTGAAAGTCGCAATCTGACAAGGCTATTTAAGAATATGACTCAAGTTTTTAGATTAATGTTTTAGTTTTGTAGCATCTTATGCTTTCGGATAAAACTATCTCCAGGTCAGTTTTAATTAATGATTGTGAAAGAAAAAGAAAAGGGCAAAACAAAACTAAGCAAACAATACATAATGCTAGTCAAAACAAGGTAAAGTAACGGTAATAAAACAAAATGTTGACAAAGTAAGAATGGTGTTCATGCACGAAAGATATGCTGTCAAGTGATCGCTGCATTCTGACTTCAAGACAAGAAAGAATGAAAATATGGCTGATGAGAGTGAGAAGTGGTCCATTTTTATTGGTTACTAGCAGCATGGCCTGGCGTTGCCCATGCTTGATTCAAAAATCATACGACTCATACAGCAATCGCTATCACTTGACTTAAAATATTTTTGCCCTTCCTTGCCTTTAAAGGAGTTCCCTTTGCCATGCTGATGTTGCTACATGCCTTACTTCTTGCCTATCTCACACTGCGAATTTTTTCTAAGCTCTATACTAAACATTAAATCTGTTACGAAAAAGAACTAAAAAAAACATGAACACAAAATGATCAGCTTTAAAAAGGACTCATAACTGGAAAAACCGAATGAAAAAAAGAATGTTAACAACAAATACTTTTTCACACCCAACCCAGTTCTCTGAATCAGAATCAATGTTGAGTTTAAGCAAGCGAATGAGCAAATTGGAGTAAAGTGCCATGCAGATTTAAATTTTTCCCACTTGTGACAAATGCAACTATTGATTTTTTTTGCATGCTACCATGCTAGTTAACATTCATGTCAGTCAGCTGTTGGCTCTCATGCTGCCTATTCGTGGCAGCCAGTTATAGGCTCTCACTCTGGCCAGTAGAAAATGGCCGCAAACTACATGAAAACTGCTGTAGAAGCATTAAAAAATCGATTATTTCCACTATCAATGGGAGTTGGGAAATGCAAAGTCAGCCTTGGCCTTTCCACTAACTTGGAGCATGTGCATGTAAATTTTGGTGCAAACCCGTCGAAAATTGCGGCCGTGCATTCGTTACACACACACACACACGCACATCCTGCCTTTTATAGATAGAGATGAAGAAATCCATTATGTATTTGTAGGTTTTGTCTATAAATTTGAGGAGCGGCATGGATTTAGCAGTCATTCCACAAGATTAGAGTGAATAACAATAACACCTTAGTTGACTTGAGAAACCTATTTTCATGAAAAACTGTTTTAACAGAAAGACTTTATAAAGTCAATGTTATGCATAACTTAATAAATGGGAATTAATGATAAAAACAACAAGGATGGTGATATTCATTCAAATAACTCATAGAATAATGAGAACGATTAATCTAAGAATTTCAGATAATATTTAAGTCAATGATATGCTGGTCAGCATTAGTATAGGCAAATAAATAGAAAGTAATGATAAAAACCACAAGGATGGTGATATTCATTCAAATAACTCATAGAATAATGAGAGCGATTAATCTAAGAATTTCAGATAATATTTAAGTCAATGATATGCTGGTCAGCATTAGTATAGGCAAATAAATAGAAAGTAATGATAAAAACAACAAGGATGGTGATATTCATTCAAATAACTCATAGAATAATGAGAACGATTAATCTAAGAATTTCAGATAATATTTAAGTCAATGATATGCTGGTCAGCATTAGTATAGGCAAATAAATAGAAAGTAATGATAAAAACAACAAGGATGGTGATATTCATTCAAATAACTCATAGAATAATGAGAACGATTAATCTAAGAATTTCAGATAATATTTAAGTCAATGATATGCTGGTCAGCATTAGTATAGGCAGATAAATAGAAAGTAATGATAAAAACAACAAGGATGGAGATATTAATCTGAATAATTTATGGATTAATTTCTTAGAATTTCAGCCAATGAAGAATTCTCAAAATGAAGAGAGAACCTGAAAAAGAATGTAACCTTACCTTTCTGCAGGAAGGACGATTTGTGGGAGGTAAGTAGGCAGTCAGTGTGCCCCATAGTTCCATGATGTGCAGTTATTCCTGAACTGAAAGGAGAAGTCTGGTTTTGTTGCCTGTTCTCCTTATGGAATGGTTCATTGGGTGGAATGACATCCGGAAGTTGTTCTTTGTGTGATCGTGGTACGTCACCTTTACCCATGTCCCGACGCCTTCGGGATCTTTCGAGAATAATCTGGAATATAGGAAATTTAACCACAGTGAGGTGGAATTTCAAACCATCAGTATAATGTTCATCTTATAGCAGCATGGGGCTTAGGAGTTAAAATGAACAGTTAATTTACCCATGCCAAGAACATTAATGGAAGATGTTAATAACAAGGAAACACACAGGTAATTTTAACAAAACAAGATATGGAATTTATTTATGAATTTACATGCTTGAAGTTGTATCAGTCGCTCATTTCAGCAAAATAAATCAGAAATGGTGAATAGAAACAAAACATTTCACATGACTTCATGACTCTCCACAATTTCCTGTCATTTGTAGCTCTTAGTAAATTTTGTTTTTTTTGCTATCTCTCCCAATCTCTGTTCTGCAAACCATTGACACAAGTTCATTATGCACAGTTTTCTTCTGCCCTTCCTGCCATCAATATGTCCTGTGAGTGTCAAATTTTCTAAGACCACTTTTCTCATTATGTACTCTAGAAATTTCAACTCTAAGAGTCCTTTTTGTTGCCATTTTCTCTAAAACTTTTTTATTGCCCAAATCTTAAATCCATGTTATTCTCAGCATCCTTCTGTAGAACCACATTTTTGTTGCTTCAAGTCTCTTCTTCATATGTGAGAAGATTGTTCAGTATGCAGTCTTAATTTGTGCTAAATAAAATAAGAACTAGATAATATCCCTAGATATGAGCAGTGGAACAAGAACAGTCTACTGCCATAGATTAAATAAAGTGTCCAGTTCGGAATTTTCTGTAAGTTACACAGATCATTATACACTCGAGGTATGGCAGTGGGTGCAATGGCCAAAATCTCTATATATAAAAGGAAGGGTGTGTGTGCGTATGTGTGTGTGTGTGTGTGTAACGAATGCATGGCTGCAATTTTCAACAGACTTGCACCAAAATTTACATGCACATGCTCAAAGTTAGCGGGAGGGCCAAGACTGACTTTGCATTTCCCAACTCCCATCGATAGTGGAAATAATCAATTTTTTAATGCTTCTACAGCAGTTTTCATGTAGCTTGCAGCCATTTTCTACTGGTCAGAGTGAGAGCCTATAGCTGGCTGCCACGAATAGGCAGGAAGATTCTATTGGCCAGTGTGAGAGCCAACAACTGACTGACACGAATGTTAACTAGCATGCTAGCATGCAAAAAAAAATCAACAGTTGCATTTGTCACAAGTTGGAAAAATTTAAATTTGCATGGCACTTTACTCCAATTTGCTCATTCGCTTGCTTAAACTCAACGTCGATTCTGATTCCACAGAACTGGGTTGGGTGTGAAAAAGTATTTGTTGCTAACATTCTTTTTTCATTTGGTTTTTCCAGTTATGAGTCCTTTTTTAAAGCTGATCATTTTGTGTTCATTTTGTTTAGTTCTTTTTTCGTAACAGATTTAATGTTTAGTATAGAGCTTAGAAAAAATTTGCAGTGTGAGATAGGCAAGAAGTAAGGCATGTAGCAACATCAGCACGGCAAAGGGCACTTCCTTAAAGGCAAGGAAGGGCAAAAATATTTTAAGCCAAGTGATAGCGATTGCTGTATGAGTTGTATGATTTTTGAATCAAGCACGGACAATGCCGGGCCATGCTGCTAGTGTTGTTATAAAAGCAACAAGGTTGAGGACAGTAGTCTGAATATAAATAGTGTAAATAAATTATAACATATATTTGTAAGTTCAATTCTAATAGTTGATTTTTTTTTTGCACTTCTCACCTGTGGAACTCCTTTCTAGTTTGTTACTTCGCTACCACCTACAATTTTCAAAGATTTAAATGCAATGTCGATTGCCATGTAATCTGTTCTTTTATTGTCCTTTTACCTCGCTGAAGTCTTCTCATTCTTTTTCACTTCCAGTAACCACTTGGGTCTTAGTGGCATTATCACCTTGCTTGGAGTGAATTGATTAAAAAAAAAAAAGAAAGAAAACTATTTTGTAAAAAGTTCATATGCAATTTATTTGCCTTTTAAACAAGTTGTTTACCTCATAAAGCTTCTTTCGGTATTCATCCACAGTAAGTTGGGTTTCATCACTCAAGCAAGGTACAACATCACAGCCAAGGACTATTTCATCATCAGGATTATAAAATCTGTTCAAAAAATAAAAAGGTTTCAACTCATTATAACATTTTCTATTCATTTCCAGAAAAATTTTAAATTATCAAAGGGAACCAAGCTTCTCTCTTGTCTATCAGTGTTTAGTTTCTGTTGTAATACGTCTGATCAGTATTCAACATGCGCCTGTCTTTTAGTTTACTATACTCTTTATTTCTCTTAACATATGAAAATAGGTACAATCCTATTTACCAATCATTTACACTTTCCTGAAGCAAAGAGGTTTAATGTCTTTGGTTCTTCTCAAATTTCTTCTGGAATCATTTTCCTCCCCTCTCCCTTGAGGTTTATGTCCTGTTCTTTTTTTAATAGAAGTCTTGGTCTCATTTCATCTTCTTCCATGTCTGAGTCACTCCCGCTATCATCCATAGGCTCGTCTTCTATTGCCTTGTCCTGAACATGAACAACTCATCCTTTCTTCTCTATATGGGCTGCAAAACACTGGATCCAAGTCTCAACAAATTCTGGTTCATTCAAGCGATTTAAACATCCTATTGGCGATGCCATATTGCTGTATTGTGTTGTTCTACGACACATTATCAGTAGTCAACTTCTGCATGTCTCTTTCTTTACTATACACTTTATATCTCTTCTACTTAACATATGCAAATAGATACAATCCTATTTACTAATCCACTACAGTTTCATTTTTGAGGAAAGACGTGCCCTAAAAAAAGAGAAACACATTATAAATATAATTTGTAATAAAAAAATTAGTAGAGCTGTACTTGTGTGAATTTCTAGAACAAGAAATTCTAATTAGTTGCATAACTTACACTTGGACTATTGTCCTCATCTTTGTTGTTATTATCACATCATTTCAGCCATTGTGCTTTTCAGTCTTCATCAGCTGCTTGTCAATCTAGCTAACTTTCATGGAATTCCAAACTGAACCATTCATTTAATCTATAGGGATACATTATTCTTATTCCACTGTCCATGCCTAGGGATATCACGTCTATAGTTCTTATTTAGTACTGTTCAATTATTGCTTGTCCTGCTTCCACTGAGTCTAAATCTGCACTACCAAGTTCAGGAATTTGAACTCACAATAACTATGTCACCGAGTTCATGAACCAACATGGGACAATAGCCGAGAGGATTAAAGCATCAGTTCATGAAGAATACCCTGATCTATAAGCACCTGATAAAGATCGAGGATGAGTGGGGGTGGGGGTGCAACAGCTTAAATGTAATAACAACAACAAAGATGAGTTCAATAGTCTGAGTGTAAATAGCATAAAGAGTGGATCTGTATTTTAGATTTAATGGTTGGAGTCCTCACCTTATGGTCGTTCTAGGAGAAAATATTTAAATGAGATTTTGATTTTTAGACAATTTTGTAAAGAAAGGGATTTAAACCAACCCCTTTTTTCTATTTGCACAAACTCATTAGGTAAGTTGTCTTTCCTCATTGTGTGTCCTAGAAATTTCAACTGACTCTTTCTGATTGTAACTATACTTAATTATATTTTGGTTCAGTTTGGTGTGTTAAGTAGTTGTATATTTCCTATTTGCACTAGTAATCAGACTTCAATTCCAATAATGTCTGGACTTTGAATGAATGTTGATTTTAAGAGACCAGTGTTGCACAATTCTTTTTGTTCTCATTTATTCTATCTGTTAATATTTAATGAATATGAAAAAAAGGATAATTTTAACTCTTGAAACTTGATGCTTACTGAATGACATAAGGATGCTGGAGAGCTTCATCAACTGTGATTCGTTTCTCAGGGTTAAAATGAAGAAGCCTTGAGACAAGGTCAACTGCTTCATGGGGAGCATCAGACAGGAGGGTTGACAGACTTTTCTTGGGCCTAACAATATAAAAAGTACAAAGTACAAATAAATAGAAAAGTAATACAAAAAAAAGGAACTAGGAATGTGTGTTTGTGTCTTTGATTGAGTGATCCCTTTGTTTTTTATGGCTTATCAACCTTTTGTAGGTTATCTAAAATCAAAACATATTTTGGATTATAGGAGATTGCTTACAGTACCTGGTATTCCCAAGCAGTCTCCAATATAAGTACTGACAAGGCTTGACACAGTTTAACTTTGGTGGTCAAAGGAGAACTGGTGTTTTCAGTGTGATGTGACTTTAAAACGTATGTGTGGATTTCTTGAAATGTAGAAGGGAAAAATTGGGCAACAGAGGAAAAATATGGAATGGTAATGATAATATTAGCTACTTCCTTATAAGGAAACATTCAGGATTCATTGACTCAGCAGCCAGTGAGGCTCAAGTTGCACTTTTCTTCATATCTGGCCACTAGGTGTGTATCAAAGAGTAGAATCTGTTTACTTCATCTCTAATGGTAATATTGACTGTTTACTTAAGGAAACATTTGGCATTCATTAACAGAGCAGCTGATGCTACTTGTGTCACGCTTTTATTCACACCCAAGCCAACATTTTGAGATCAAAGTGTAACATCAGTTCTACTCATCTCTAATGGTAATGGTAATGGTAATATTAACTGTTTCCTTATATGGAAACATTCAGTATTTATTGCCCAAAAGGTCAGTGTTACTTTTGATTGAAATTTATAAGATCTTTCTATTAAAAAAATTTCTTCAGGAAAATAGGTTTCTCAAGTCTACTGTTATTGCTCTTTCCAGTATTGATGCAGTTTCCATGTTAACTTTTTGTTTTTAGTATTGTGAAATATCTACATTATGTGATTAGTTTCTTTTTAAGTTACATGTACTACCATTTTAATTGTTACTTCTGTTGGAAGTCATTATGTGAAAGAGAAAAATATATGAAAAGGTGAGGAAACCAAATGGAAAAAGAGAAGAAAAGAAGAATTAAATTTGGTGAGAGAGACATAGATAAATTTATAGTTGAACATACCAATAAAATTTTGACAGTTAGAAGGAAAGGAAACAATAAGGACAGGCTTTTTCAATTCATTTCACCCCAAGCAATAATGCCTACTAAGACCCGTTTGTTACTAAATGATGAGAAGGATTTCACTTAGAAGCACTAGTCAACCTTACTTGATTGGCATAACATGTCCTACACTTTTGTTAACGGGGTGAGAAGTGATGGATCTGAAGCTCTGCAAAAATTATATTTTAATGTTAATAAAAAAAATATACTAAGATAAAGTGGATTAGGTTTATGCTCTTAATCTCTACTTTTTTTCTTTGAATTTCTTAAGCTGAAAACAGCATCAAACTACCACAAACCAAAACCAAAACGAATAATCTTTGCTCCCAGTGGAATGACAAGATTTGATATAGGCCTCTACTTCTGGGCATAAGTTACATTATGACTTGGCTTTTAATAAAGAATGCCACAGCTGAAGGCTTGTGTAGATCCACCAACATTTTTAGGAAGAACTGATAATAGATAAATGGTGCACAATGTCAAAAACTTCAAAGACCCCCCCCCAGCTAGGTTTGAGTTTTTCTTCTTCTAGACCAGCTGCCAGCCAAGACAAGAGAGCTCAGTTTACCCTGTTATTTAACCATTAACTGGGGAATAAATGGATTCATGCCTTTTCCAAAGACATTTGTGTGAAGTAAACACAATAGACTAAGCTGGAAAATGAAGTTGGCTTGCTAATTCCACTTTTTCACCAATAACAGTTAAACTGTCTGCTCATCCCAATTAGCTAAGGAACACAATGTTAAACTGATCAGTGACTGAATATTTCATTGGTGAGATGTAAGTTTCACTCAAGCAGTTTCTACCCTTATCTTCAACATATATCCACATAAACTGTGCCTCTTACTCTGTAACCATCGACCTTGAATGGCTCCGGGGCCTTGTACAGGGTGAACATCACTGTAAAGAAAAAAAGGACAGGGATTAATCACCTATGATACAAGGTGGGTCCTTCCTGACAAAGGATATCTCATAATGATTTGAGGCAAGGTTTTGCAAGGCCGGATGCTCTTCCTGATGTACATCTCAGACCCCATCTCTAGGAAGGTTGCCATTCAAGGCTTGAACCCCCACCCTAGCCTCATATATATATATATATATATATATATATATATATATTTGTTCTGTATATAAATTTATACACTGAGCTCTCATCATGGAGTTAACATTTAATATTTTTATATTAAAAAAATACCTCATTGGAATAAACCCTATGACCTATTGATTTGGTGTTATTCATATATATATATATATATATATATATATATATATATATATATATTGGCTTCAATAAGAAAGTCATCCACCCTTTAACATGTTTGTTTATTGTGCTGTGAGATGACATGCCACCACTCTTCACCAGCAGAAAAGACAGTGGGGGACCTGGTCTAGACATTGACCACCCATCCATGTAGCAGGTTATACTGGGTTGCATGTTACCAGCAGCAGGCCTAAGCCTGACCTGACCATATAAGTGTGGGAAAAATAGGTATAAATCAGTCTTGCAAATTCAAAGTCAAAAGAAAGTAGGTGACTTTGCGACATACAACTGCCAACTTCACCCATAAAGAACAGAGAATAGAGGTGTTGTCCAATGTGGCGTTCTTTTATTGGGTTAAGAAAGTCTGTGATTGGTTGAGACCAGTAAGCAAATCCCAAAATTACCATATTTCAAAACCTTACTAAAGAAGATCTGACTTTGATTTTGATTCTCTTTTTTAACAAACAGCACTGGGAACATAAATTCATTTTGAGGTAAAACTTGGTTCTCATTCATTACCACAAAAGCATAAATAAATTGGTCAATACATGAATAGATAAATTGTCAGAAGATTCCAAAGTTAGTCATAACAGTGACATAAAATTTGGAGCAAAATAAACTTGTGCAGGGATGCTAAAGGCACTTATGTCTCTTTGGTGGAGATAAGTCACATAGGTCACATGACATCTGCTTAGTTATGTCGTTCCATGCAGTGATGAAAGTAGCAGTGAAATTCAGTTTGTTTTACAGCAGTGAAAACAAAAGGGTGCTTTCTTTAGCCCTGCGATGGCCAGGACAGAGGCTAAATTTACCTCCCCAGCTGCTTACAAGTCCATGGTGCTGTTTTCTTTTCGGAATATATCTTTCCCAGATAGAGAATGAAACTTCAGCTTGCAGTCCTCAATATGGGGAAAACCCAAGATTTGTTGTTTCCCATTCATGGAATATGTCTTTGCCTGGGTCATAGGTGAATCCAGCATGTTTGAATCTGGAGTCCTAAACATGGCTTCTCCAGACACAGGAATATCTCCGTATTATATGCAAGATCTTTCTTTTTTGTTTTGCCTTACACTCTACTTTGCCATGTGATATATTTTTTCTCTATGTGGGAGACTTGTATATATGTATATATAGTTTTGTGTATGTCTTAGTAATATAAAAATCTCTCTGAGAACAAAGCATGTTTGTCATTTCATTTCCTTTCAGTCATTCTGTTCTGTTTGTTAATTATGATGTTATTATGTCATGGATATAACAATGCCCATAATGGGGAAAATGTAAATAGGAAAATAAATCTTTCTTCCATAACAACCTCCTGTTACACTTGGATGGGGTAATAAAAAAAAAGTTAAAGTATTCATGGTGTCTTAGTTTGAAAAAAAAAATACTGCAGTAAAAGAGACATTAGCACAATGTGGATGTTCCAGTGAGAAGTTTCTGCAATCTTTCCTATAAATACATTTTCATGGTAATTGTTCTGACAAGATTTCCTCTTTGTTACCAAGACTTTATGAATTTAAGAGAACTGTGGGAAAATGAAAGAAAATAATAATAAAGAATAAAAAAAAACCCTAAATTTTCCCATGATGCAAGTAATAAAGAAACTGGAAAGGGTTTTTGGTCACATGTGTGATTTTATGACCCCCACTTCCAGAAAGAACAGAATCTTTCTCTTTCCAATTTTTACCAACCTTGTTCCGCTGTGTGTTAGCAGCCCTACTTATGAAGTAGAGGTTCAGTTTTCCCAACTCAGTGCAAAGCTAACTTGAGCTTGACCAGCTGTACCCATTTGTATCCTTACTTCTCATAACTTATTTTAGAACCAAAAAGAAAAATGACAAGAGACATTTAACTGTTTCATTACAGTCAACAAAAAAGGTATAAACATCCGTAGCAGAAACTCAAGCTTTTTTGTATGTTGCCTCTATCTTCTTTGTTTATATATTGAACATGAAACTTCATCTAAAAATACACACAAAACCCATAACCTTCTTAACATCCTAGTACTATTAGATTGGCAGCAAGGTTTCATCATCTTAAAAATGATTTAACCGTAAGTTCTACACTAACAGTTTCTTCTCTCATACTTCTTGCTTGTGAAACTCTCTTCTTGCTTCTTGCTTTCCAGTTAACTTTAATCTTAAAAAAATTAAATGCAACATCAATCATTATCTTCTGTCTTTTTGTTCTTTTATCATTCCTTCTCTCTTTAGTTTTTTTTTTATTTTCTCATAATATTCTCATACACTCAGTAACTCCTTGCATCTTAGTGGCTTGGTATGAAATGATAAAAAAAAAAAAACTAGTTTAATGATTCTTGCTTTTTAGTAAATATTTACTAACATTATAGTGATTTATTAAGCATAGCTTAGATGTGGGACAAGTTCGAATGTAAGGTGCACCCAGTGAGGATCAAACTCACTATTCAGTTATAATTGATCTAATGGGACAACTTTGCTAACCATTACACCATATCAAAGCACCCCTTTACTAACACTATATTAGGACAAATACTGGCACTTACTGTAGTTCAACTTCATAACATTTGAAATTGTCCATGAGATTAACTTACTGACCATTGTTTTGCAACAAGCCCTAAAGGTATTTAATCATTCTATTTTACCCTGTTACAGTGCTAAGATAGTGAGATATCCTTGCAACAATCTGCAAGATTAGCTTTCAATTGCTTCACGGAAAGCTACCAGATGCTCAATAATTTGACATGTGCCCAAGCAGAAAGTTATTGACAGTTGTCTCCCTTTGTTTTGGTCACATTTTTATTGGTTTATTCCTAGTTTTCCCTTTTTATTGATGTAAAAGGACAGAAATGAAGCAAGTGGAAGTGTAACTGTACGTAAAGCTGCCCAGCTGTGAATGACAGCCATCAGTAGAGTATTGGACTGGTTGGCTCAGGGAGAATAGGAGAATGTGAATAATGAAGAGAGAGAAAGGTAGGTTTCAAAAGAGAATAAATAGAGGAAGATTAAGGAGAAGAAAAAAAGAGGAAAATGAATAGAAGATTTAGAGAGGAAAGAGAAAGAGAGAGGAAGGAGTGAGAGAGAGAGAGAGAGATGTTGAGTCAAAATGGTGTTCTAGAAAAGGAACAAAGGAATGTATTATGAAATCAGGCTTGGCTCAAGTTCAATTTATGATATTACTCTTGTTAATTTCTGTTCAGCTTTCCCACAACATATCCTTACCTGTTCGATCTTGCATAAAACACCTTTTTAATTGCCACAGAAAGACAAGAGATTACTGGGTGTGAAAGAGTTAAAAACAGAAACATTGGTAAGGAGTGAAAACAGAGGAAGAATAATCAGGAGGACAGTAGACAGTGTCTGACATTGCAGTTAAATTTTTGCAGATTAAAGTTGGTTGGAATGCATGGAGCTGGAAGAGTGTTCTACAAACCAGAAGTGTGAAAAAAGATGCATAAAATTTATGGTTACATCTAACCAGCTCAACTGTAAATTGGTGAGATCTTGTCACCATGTTAGTACTTCATCTATATTTGAAGAGTCTAGGCACCATAGTGAAGAGCTCATCCAAACAATTACCATGAAAATATTTATAGAAAAGGCAAAGGGAGGCAAACCTATGCTATTGGGAACATGACTGAAGTTGGTCCTTCTTTGGATTTTATCAAGGAGCTCTAGATAGATATCAGAAGCACTGGACCATATATGGCAGTCATATTCTAAGCATAGATGAATAGTAGACATGGATATGTAAGATAGACTCTGGAGAGAAAAAAACACCTAGCACAACACAATAACACAACCTTCCTGGCAGTTAATCTAGCAATAGATTCAATATAATCTTTCCACTTCATGTTAGATGAGAATGTTAGCCCAATAAAGTGCAGCAAGTCACTCTCCAGCAGGTCAGCATCAGCCATAATGATAGAAGGAAGAGACATGCTTAGGGAGAGGGGAAGAAAGAAAATGAAAGCTAGGAAGGAGAAAATATGAAGACTGCTGGAAAATAATCAGTGGAAAATAAAAAGAAAGAAATATAACTATCATTATTATTAATATTATTGAAAATATTAAAAAAAATAAGATCTGGCTTGGGTGTTGAAGAAGCTGTGAAACATGGCTTTTAAAGTCATTCTTATAGTAATAGGTGCACTTGGGACATGACCTAGAAAATTGAAAGTGCGCTTTGGAAAAATTAGAATTGAGACAAAGATTGGAGATATCCAGAAAACTGCAATCCTTAATTCCATAAGGATTCTGTGAAGATTCTCGAAAAAAGTTCTTGAGTTTTGAGAAGTCTTGCTGACACCATGCCTCAAGAAAAAAATTTCTATTGACTATGTGTAGGAAAATAAGGCATGAATGTGTTGAGGTTGAGGGAAATACTTAACAAGTAACAGATTGTTCCCTTAACAATTAAGGTGAGACAGGTAGAGAAGAGAAAGAGATGGGTAGAGATTAAAAAAAAACTGAATAATGATGAGTGAAGACTCCTCTTCAAAGACCACAACATGGTGAATAGGCTGTAACTTTCAGAGTAAAATGCACCAAGAAAACATCCTTACAAGACACTGAATCTCCAAAAATAGCAAAGCAAGTCTTGCCAAAAGCAGACAACTAGCTGCAGGTTTTTCACTTTCTTTAATTAACATGAGATGGTTGACAAAGTCCTGGATCTGCACAAGTTGCAGAGAGGCCCATATTTTGATATGCCAAGTTGTTTTGCTACTAATGGGGAAACCCAAATGTGACTAACTAGCTTCAACAGATATGTTTGCACATAACTCTGGGCCACTTTTGCATCTGTACTGACATGAATTTGCCACACTATGCCAATGTGCAACATCAAAATAATAATAATAATAATAATAATAATAATAATAATAATAATAATAATGGGATTCCTCGTTCATTGTAGCATGAAGACCCAATCTTATTGTTAAAGATAATGAGAACAGCAAGTGTCAAATTGTTGACTTTGCTGTTCTGCATGATACAAGAGTGAACTCCAAAGAAGCAGAAAAGATAGAAAAATACCAGGTCATGTTTGGGAGTTAAAAGCTATGGAACATAACTGTAGAACTAATTCCTGTAGTAATGAGTGTACTTGGAGCACCACTAAGACCCTTGGAAAAAATATGAAACCATCTTCCTCTAGTTATAGGTTAAATAGCAGAGTAGACAGGATTCTATTGCTTTGGGTGTCAGTCTGTCTAGGAAATGGGCTGATTGATTGATGGTTTTGTTTTTTATGACTTATCAACCCTTTGCAGGTTATTTAAAGCCAGAAAATATTTTCAGCTTGTAAGAATTTTGTTTGGACATAATGATTGATTGATACACGTCTTACTAATTAATGGTGGAGAAGAGGTTGGTTCATATCTTTCCTAAGGGTATCTGTGTGCAAGTGAATATAACAAACCAAACTGGAATTTGAAATCGGCTCTCCGATTAACAATTCTGAGATATTGTCCATTATATTACCCACACATCCAAACTTACAACACCTGACAATCCTAAGCATTCACTCATCAAGGTACTGACCAGGCTGAACATTGCTTAACTTCAATGATCCTACAGGAACTAGTGTTTCAATATGATGATGCTCTAAGCCTAGGAGAAGGGAAACTGAATTCAAATCTGAAAAAGTATGCAACATTCCTCTATTATCAGTTTTATATATACTAACAGGCCCCATGTAAATTACACGGATATATTAATAATAATTTTTTAATGCTGAACTCTGTACTTTTCAACCCATGACCATTGCCAGATAGTTGTAAGATAAATAACAAAGCCTCTCTTAAAAATACTGAAATGTTCTCAACAGGTCATTATGTCACAAAACATTATTTAAACCCTCACGACAAACAACTGCATTTATCTAAGATGAATCCCAGCCTCCAATACCTCTCTGTGTCATGTGCACTTTTTATTGCTCTATATCCCTCTCTCTTTCTGTTTTACTATCTCTCTCTCTCTCTCTCTCTCTCTCTCTCTCTCTGTTTCCCTTTCAGGCACTCAACACATTATGAGTTCCCTCAGTCTGTAATAAATTCCCAATGAAAAGATTTTTAAAAAAAATCTGAAAGGAGGTATCCGCAGGTGGTATCAGTCAATTGCTGATACCTCCTGAAGAGTGGACAGAGTGATTAATAAAAGATCTGTCTATGAAATTCTGGAGTCAGGTGATGAATATAACATTAATCAGTGACAAATTTCATATTTCTATTAATCCTAAATTCCTAAATTATATGTGAATAAATTTACTTTTTAGTATTTCAAGATATTTTGTGTAATCTTGGTAAATATAGATGTTAAAATGAGATGTCAATGCTATTTTCATTTTTGTGTAATTTATACAACAATTTATCCATCACACCTTGTATATAAAAACTTAAAGAAAAGATATACAAAAAAAAAATATTGCATTTTTATTAAATAAGTATTTGCTACTTTAATCCTTAAATTGTTTTTAAAATAGTGGAAGTATTTTTTATGTTAAATAATGAAACTTAATTTTTACAAAAAATTTAATGAAAATTTATTGTACTAGGTACCTTAGTAAAACTGACTATACTTTGTACCACCTTGCCTTTCTCCCCAAAATTTGGTTTTGATCGGTCAATGTATGGCTATTTTAGAGGGTGTGATGGAGGTATCACAGAATTTTATATAAAGATAAATAAAAAAAAAAACTAAAGTGAGTTAATTTTGTAAGAAACAAAACCAATAAAGAAAGAAATGAAAAACTTTTCTCACTTGATAGAGGCTTTCTCTAAAATAGACGCACCATAAGCAGACTGGATACTTTCAATATCTAAAGCAGAAAAAAAAAAAAAAACAAATTTACATTAAACAAACAAGTTTGACTCACAATGAAGCAATTTATTAAAATGCACTTTTCAGTCCATAAATTAATAAAATGTCTGATGTAACTTAATAGAAAAATAAACCAAAAATGAAAAAATAGTAATGGAAGAAAAATGGTGAGGTAAGGTCAGTTTAGTTGATATTATAAAATGTCAACCCTTGAGTTATTTAATGTCGATTTTGGTATGAGGCACTCAGTGAGGATGGAACTCACAACTCAATGGTCATGGTTAAGCTGAATAAGTTAGTTTGGTTGATATTACGTCAACCCTTAGGTTATTTAATGTTGAATTTTGTATGGATCAACCACTGAGAATCAAACTTACTACCTAGTAGTAATAGTCAACCTCACCAGCCCTGCTAAACATTATTCCAAGCTGATGTGCCTAAAATGGTAAAACTGATCAAAACTGTTAAAATTTTTGAGATTTTTGTTATTAAATGAATTCCCAATTTAAATCATGCTAATTCTGATTTGAATTGGAATTATATATGGTCTGTGTTTGAGCTCTGATAAAAGCCAGGATTATTTAAGGTTGCTTTCAAGGTAGGGATGGTACACAATGTAATGGTTATTGGCAGAGGAAAGTGGGATGAACATAAAGAGTTCAAATTCCAGTCAGGATAGTTGCATCCACTTTTGCACTTAGGAAAGATATGAATCCATCTCTTTTCTCCCAAGATTAAGTGCTCACTTACTTAGTAACCCTACAACTACACGTGATCATGGGGCTGATGATGATTGACTGATTCATTCATTTTCTATGGCTTATCAACTCTTACTGATTATGGTTATGATAATGGGATAATTCATAATTATGTTACTAATATCTTAATTACTAATTACATATCAGCATATTTCATCATACAACTAGTTTACACATTATTATTATTTACATGCAGACTATTATCCCCATCTTTGTTGTTATCATGTTTTGGCCATTGGAGCCACCTGTTAGTAGACAGGCTATTGGTGGAGATGAAAAGAACCAGAGTTGGAAAGCCATGTCATAAAGTAGAGATGGGTAGTGGGGATGGAGTCAGTGATGGAGGAAAGCAATGGTTAAAAAAAACAAAAGAGATGTGAGTTGTTGCTGGCCAAAAGGAAAAATATGGTCCATTTGTTTGTTGTGAGAGGAGACAGAAATTGCAAAATTGCACCAAGTATCACCTGACACTCCTCCCCCATCCATAATGGGCCAAATGAATCCCTGAATTACTAACGAATGAAATGGAAAATAGTTTCTTATTTTTTATTTCTCACTATTATTAGCAAAATTTAAGTAATTTTTATAATTGCATTTTTTTTTCCCATAATTCCTGAATAATAAACTGAACTGACATTCTGTTCATCATTGAATAATTATTATTTCTATTCTACCAGAAAAATCTGTGACATGGTGATGGGCAAATTACTAATTATTTTTTTTTTTAATTTCACTCTGAGCAAGGCGATAATGTCACTAAGATGCAAGGGGCTACTGGGAGTGAAAGAGGATGAAAAGACTTTAGAAGAAAAGCCAATCTTGAACAGAGATAAACCTCTACTCCTGTTCAAAAGACAGGTGAGAAGGGTGAACTGGTCAATAGGCAAAGCTATCTACTCCTGTTGAAGGAAAAAAATAAATAATAAATAACAAATAAAATTTCAGATTTTGATTTCTCATTTTGGCAATATTTTCACCTTTCATCCCCTTGTGAATGTGTACAGGGCCTTTCCCAATTTTTACTCAAAAAGAAGAAACATAATGTGAGTGATTTGTCCAGTCAGTGAAGTAGCATGTTAGTACAAACTTTCTCTTTGTTCTTTGACAGCAATATTTAAGTAATTTCATAACTGCATTTCCCTTTATAAAATCAGAAATATCTTTCTGCTGCTCTGGTATTTTCTTATTTATGTCTTATAATTCCTGAATATTAAACTAAACTAACATTCTGTTCAGCATTGAATAATTATGATTTCTATTACACCAAAAGAATCTGTAAACATGGAGATGAGCAAATTGTAAATTGATTTTCTTTTTTAATTTCATCCTAAGCAAGACATTAATGCCACAGGGACAAAAGGGGTTACTGGGAGTGACAGAGAATAAAAAGACTTTAGCAAAGAGAAAGAACAATAAAAGAACAGGATTCAGGAAGAGAGAAAATGGCAGTTGATGTTGCATTTAAATTTTTGAAGAATGTAGGTATCAGAGAAATAAGACACCAGAAGAGAGTTCTGGAGGTGAGAAGTGTGAGAAAAGAAACCAGGATAGAACAGGGTTATACCTCACTAATTCAACATTTTAAATATAAGACCTAGTTGCCAATCTAGTAGTCTGCTTAAATTCATGTAGTCGAGGTATCAAGAAGAAGAGCTCATTAGATCAACTGGCATGAGAAAAAATTTATAGAAAAGAAAGAGGAAAGCCATATCTTGGCAGTGGAAAAGTATCTGAAGTTAAGATGTCAGGTCAGGACTGATAACATTACAGACACTTTTTTAGATTTTTTTCAAGAATCCTGAGAAAATTCTTACAATCTTTGGGGCTTTAATAGCCTGCAAAGGGTTGATAAGCTGTAGAAAACAAATCAATCAACCAATCAACAAAATGTGTTACATAAAATCTTTTTCATTTTGTCATTCAATTCCCCAGCAGTGTTTTGATATATAGAAATTTATATATCATATTCTCCCACACATCTTGCTGCAAGTGATTTGCATCCTTTTATGCTTGCTATGTTTACTAATGTTTGTGTTTTCTTCTAACAAAATAATACAACCTTCCATTATGTATGGGCGAAATAAGACCTGTTCCTAGGAACTCCCTACTAACTTTCCGGGACTTTACTGACCTTTGAATTTGCCATATTTAAACCCTAATAGGTATGCTAAGAGCCATGGTTTTTCTTAAGATTGATAGTGGAGTGGTTTTCTGTTGCCTTCTCCATGGTGATTTATTGAGACACCACCTCTAGTTAACTGGCCGTTGACTCATCTAGACTTCTTCTGTCCTTTGATAGGTCTTGTTTTTATTCTTACAGACTTGCTAACAGCACTCCTCACTCACAAGGAATTGAAGTGGGGGTGCCAGTTTAGTTGCCAGCCATCTGACAATAGCATACATATATGTATATATAGAATTAATATATGGAAAAGTTTGTCACTTAGCTGATTGATGTTACCTTCAGCATCCTGCCTCCATAGTTTCGTAGACAGCTCCATCCATCTAAATGTCAGAAGGTATCAGCAATTGACTGCTTATACTTCTTGATTTTTCTTTTTTATATGCACTTATTATTTGTGCAAGTTTTTTCATAGTGTGCATGTGTGTGTGTGTGCATGTGTGCTTGCGTCCATATGTGGGTCTGCACAGACATGTATTCATGCACCTGTACATATATATATATATATATACTAGCTTGAAAGCCGCCCTATTGGGGGGCATTTAAGCTTACTCCTGCAGAGGGCTCTGGGCCTTCATTAAAATAGGTAGAGAGGAGTAGATGTGATGAGCAGCATTAAACTACAGAAGAACTCAAAATTAATCGCTACATTTAAGTATTGCATTAATGTCTAAGCTCACCTTTTAAAAGTTCAATGATAGTTCTCCGTCCTCCACTTAATTTAAAGACAGTTTGATGTACATAGGTCCTTACTTTCTGTACAAACAATTATTTTTATTTCATGGGTCACTCTCACTGGATTTCGCAATTAATTTTGATTATTCCCAAATTTATTTCCAAGTTATAAAAATTGTTATCGTACAAAAAGATTTCTCACAAAAATTGTTTAAAAATATCACTGAAAACAATTGCAGCAATGAATAATTGTGAATCCAAAATTTCAGGATTGTAGGTCCAGATCCAGCCCAGAATGTTTTTAACTTGATCACGGAGTCGGCCTAATTCCAAAATAGTATGATATGTTGGGCTACAGCCTGTAGGAGTGACATAGTGACATTCAGATTTATTATATAGATATAATGTATATTTGGGCATCAACCATTCTTTCAGACATGTTTTGTTGAATATGATAGACAAAAAAAATTTGATTAATTTTTTATTGATATTTTTCTAGTATTCTTAAATTTTTCCATTTGGTGGGGGTAAGAGAATGCATAAATTGTCTGTAGTGCCTATTGTCCCAAGCACTTTTGGTCACTTTCACCATTTACAATTGTTATTAATTTATTTTCACATTTGTTATTTAAGATGTATGGTATGATGCATATTGTACAATAGTAGCATTTATTCTAAACTTCACAAAAGGAATTTAGCTGAAATTCAAGTTGGTGTCCTTTTGTTTTAAAAAACCTTTAAAATATGTTGATGTTTTGTTGTATTGTGTTTTTTTAGTACTGGTGTTGTGTATTTTTTGTAAGAATAATTTTACTTGCTTATCAATGATGTAGCTGTGAGAATTCTTATTAACTAATGTTTGAGTTGACTAAGAATACTTTGAATAATCCTTTAGAGTCACATGAGGCACCATGCAGTCTGATAGAGCTCTCAACCTTTTCCTACCTGGTAAGCTTGAATGAATGGATGGTAGAGCAAGGTTTCAGAGAGATAGTAAAAGACAAAGGACAAGAAATTATGGAGAGTCATGATCATCAAGGTCCTGAAGGCCACATGGCACATAGAAGAAGAGAAGAATAAGTATGTATGGGACATGTTGCACACCCTATAAAACTCACTGCGGTTATATCCTACCAGGCGTTTCTGGAATGAGCATGGATAGGTACACTGAACCAAGGATTGCAGTACCTCATAGGTTTCAAGCCACATCAGGCATAGGCAGGAAGTACTCATTATCTCTCACTAAATATTTTCACAATTTCAGTTTATATTTGTAAAAGCCATTAGTTAAATGAAATGAAATCAACTTACCATCATTTGTTGGTGGGTTTATTATGCTCATAATGTGTTCAATTTGGTTGAGTGTTGATGAACCAGGAAATAAAGGTTTGCCTAGCAACATTTCTCCAAGTATGCAACCCAAACTCCACATATCCACACCTTTTGTATACCTGAGGATTTGGCAAAATATATAGGAAAAATAAGTTGAATTTTGTATATAATCATGGCTGGATTAGACATTAAGCAAGATAAGCATATGCTTAGGACATCAAGGGAAGGGGGTCCCACTGAAATTTTAATGATATTGTTGTATATGTCTAAAGAAATAAGTCAAACATGATTAACATTTGAATCAATGGGTTGCCATTATGAATGAGGAGACAACTGACCCACAGTGAATCTTTATTGCCATTCTGATTTGTTAATAAGGGAATGAGCTAAGGGAGCTAATGAGGTTTTTATTTACTCAATATATCACATCAGCTCTCTTGAATTTGAATGTGTAATTTCTTGGGCATTTTTGCCAATTCCACTTAACCATGGCCAATTACTTTTTTACAATTGATGGGGGATTTTCTTCCTAATTTTTTGCTTGAAATAGTGTAGAATGTTAACATCTTTATTATGTCATTATTTTCTCTTCAAATAAATGAACTATTCCTTTTAGTTGTTGCTGCTGTTAAAACTCCTCAGGTGACAATGTTTTTGTCATTTCTTACAGTTCATTGTTTGGAATTCTTTAGCATCAGCCCACATGGTTCAAAGAAGGTTGGTTTTCTCTAAAACCTACATGTTTCATTTCCTTGAAGTCATTTATAAGCATTTATCTGAGAAATCAGATGTATACAACTGGTAGTTTAAATATTTTTGAATGATTGATTGATCTGTTTAATGGCATATCTATTCCTTATGGGTCATTTAAAGCTAAAATATAACTGAAATACTTTGAACACAATATTCTGATTTCAACTAAATATATTTTGAATGTAACTGTATGCCTTCAACAAGAGATAAAATGAATTGTTGGTCATTTTGCTATAAAATGTATTGTTGGTAATTCTGCTATAAGATGTATTGCTGGTCATTTTGTTTTAAAATTGTATTGTAGGTAATTTTACTATAAATATCTTTGGTAATTTTACTATGAATATGTATTGTTGGTATTTTCTCATATAAATATGTATTGCTGGTATTTTTACAATAAAAATATATTGTTTTTATTTGAAGGTTCACTATTTGCCCAAACCTGAGACCCTAACAGATGCTACCACACTGAGTCAGGTTGGATCTGAGAACAACAGCAATTAAGAGTGGCTCCATGCTCCTCAAAACCTCCAATCTTCTGATTGCTGCCAGATGTAGTTTATTATCATACCCAGGAATGATTTTTGTATGAGTTTAGTACCATGCATGGGATCCATATGAAAGTCTTAATCTGATGAAGCTATTTAAGAATATGACACAAATTTTTAGGTTCATCTTTTAATTAAGGTTATTTTTTTGCCTTTTATTAAATGAACATTTTTGAAGTAGTTCTAACAAATTTTACACTGCATATTAATATTGTTTAGTCAGGATATTGACTTTTCATTTGGAATAATGTAATGGATATTGACTTACTATTTGTTTAGTATATATATTTAATTATGTTTTTTTTTATTCAGGAAAGATAGTCATTTACTTTTTATTCAAAAGTTATTATATTCACTCACCTGTGAGAAGCCAAAAGAATCTCTGGAGCTCTGTACCATCGTGTGGCAACATATTCCGTGAGATTTGGGTTTCCCATTTCATCCCTCCCAATTTGGGAAAGAGAACGGGCCAAACCAAAGTCACACACTTTCACCAAACAATCAGTGTTTAGCAGAATATTGGAAGGCTATGAAACAGAGGATTTGTATTAACAGTTTGAATTTTCTTTTTACTTTTCAATAAATGAAATAATTATGAAAAATTATAAAATTCAAATTTATATCTGTTGTAATCTAGAAAAAGTTACTGAATAAGAATAACCAAAACAAAGGTTGGAAATACAACAGTAATCTTTATAACATTAACAACATACAAGATTTACAGTATAACAATATCAGAACAAAGATTTTGAAGACAAAAAAATTATATGGAAAAAATATTTATATGGATAGGAGGGGAAGATAATGGTTAAATCTAGACTTAAACAGTTTAAGATTGTAGTGATTAGGGAAGCATCCTCTTGGGAGTCTGTTCCTCATAGCAGTGGTTCACAGGAAGAAGCAGTTTAAATGGATCTTTACTTCTCGCTGATGGAATACAGAGGGAATGTGGGTAGTTTGCTACAAAATAAGTGGCATGGCAGGTCCCTGTGATGAAGGGTAGACCTGGTGGGACCAAGGAATGTGGTTTGGTTGAGCATTTTCCATACAAGTAGTGATAGAACAGTAAGAGACTCACCACATCCTGCCTGTGAGAGAGAGGTTGGTGGGCAAAAAATAACTCTTTTCCAAGAGTAAGATAGACTCTGGTGAGAAAAAATGACTAGCATGACACAGTGAACCAACTTTCCTAGCAGCAAACCTAACAATTGATTCAGTATAATCTTTCCAGTTCATGTGAGCAGAAAACATTAAAACAAGAAGGCACAAGTTACTTTCCTAGAGGTTAGCATCAGCCATACTGATGGAAATTAAAAGATGTTCTCTAAGATGATTAAAAAATAGCAGTTTTGCTTTGGAGGCATTAAAATTAATTAGCCATTTCTTGTCCCAGTTAACAACAGATTGTAGATGATTTTTTTAGATCATCTGCCAGTTTTACCTTCTTAACCAATCAGGATTACATACCATTAAGGAAGAGTTAAAAAGTTGTGCCATTAGCATAGATAATTCTTTGTAATTTTGCATATGTATGAAAATTTCAAAATTTTCTAAACAAACCTTGATGAGACTTGTGGATGATACATTATTTCCCACTCTGCAACCACTTTCACACATATGAAATGTTGTTAGCTTCTTTCTACCCTATCAATATTTACATGGTAGATGTTCAGGTCAGCTATATTCCTTCCACCAGTTCAGACCTTCACAGCCAGGACTTGCCATGTCATTTACACTGACTGGAATCATTCTCTGTGTATTCCATTGGTAAGGAAGAAATCTCATCCAGTTTTCCCTGTTTTCTATGCAACAATTCTCCACTTTCATCTTTAGCAAATCAAAAGTGAGATGAGTTGAGAGGACATTCTACTTTCTGTATACTTTCTTGTCGTGCTGAAACAAATGGCTCTTATATCTACTGATGGTTATGACAGAGTTCAATAGTAGGCTTTTTAAATAAAATATCACCAAACTTGGAACTTTGTACCCACAAAAATATGGAGAGTTTTTCCATTGACACTGCCATTATTTTAATTACCTTCAATCCTTGGCAAAGTTTATTGTTTTAAAAAGCAATGATTTAAAATTCTAAACCTAAACATATGAAAATGAATTTATACATTTTCTTTGTTCTTGAGAATTGACAACAAAAATAATAAACACTATTTATTAGATTGTTTATTTACATTATTTATTTATTATAATGTTTATTGGAATGGTTGCCAAAACATCGGCTAACTTCCAATCGATTCAAACATTATAAAATATTAATTAACGATTTTTTTATATTTTCACATTTTTTAATAATTTAGTAAAGAATCATACTTATTATAAAACCCAGGTTGTGTGTGTGTGTGTGTTCGTTTATATATTGGATCGGATTTCCTACATTTTTCAACCGATTTCAACAAAACTTCACAAGACTACGTAAAATTACCTTGTGGTGGTTCTGACAGCGCCAAAAATTGGAAAAACACAATTGTTTTTACACAAAATCAATTTGAAAACATCACTTTTGCGGAATGAAAGGAGGACATCTCACATCGAGTTATACTTATTATAAAAACCTAGGTTGTTTGTGTGTGTGTGTTCGTTTATATATGGGAACAGATTTCCTACATTTTTCAACCGATTTCAACAAAACTCCACTTTTTTTTTTGGCAGGTAGTATTTCTTATTGTCTTTCACACTTTTTTCTTTATTTTTACATTCAGAATGTTTTAAAAATTCCATTTACAAGACAATTGTTTATAATAAAATTATATTTAATAGGTAGACTCATAATGATTGAAAATAATGTTTTTGTTTGAGTTTGGGTTTGACCAATTCGTAAAAAAACAAAAAAACAAAACAAAACAAAAAAACTAATTAAGACATGCGTGTCCATCAACCTTAAACACTAGTCTTTGTCAATTTTATTTTTCAGTCTTTATGATGGTCAATACTTGAGCTATCTCTTACTGTTACATCCCCAGGCAACACCGGGCTCTACTGCTAGTCAATAATAAAATCTATATAAATAAAAAATTTTGGAAATCAGCATTTTTGAGGCTTCTCTCACAACTAGGGGCTAAAACTGCAATCTTCGGTGTTTGATTTAACACATATATCTTGCATGAAAAGGATTGCAATTGTTTTTTTTTCTTTTCTGACGCATCTAACTACATAAATTTATGAATACAAAATTGTTTTCATATTTATTTCCTTATAAATTCGTAAATGATAAATATTGCATTAGTTTTTAGAATCATGCAAATATAAAATTATTTTTATAAATAAAAAATCTATCATTGCATAAATTCACTTTCATCATATGTTTAGGTTATACAGGGTGCGATGGATAAATTGCCGTTTAAATTATGCAAAAAATGAAAATCACACAGACATCTCATTTTAACAGATACATTTACCAAAATTACACAGAAATATCTTGAAATACTAAAGAGTAAATTTATTCAATAAAATCAACCACAGCTTCTAGACAACTTTGGAATCCCCTGCAAATCTTCTGGATGGTCTCCTTGCTTAAGTGAATGCTTCCATAATCATTGCCTTCAGTGCAGGAGTTTTGTTGTTCTGTCAATCAACTGTGCCCACCACACAATAATCAAGGGGAATGCAGTCTGGGGAGTTATGTTGCCAGATATAAGGGGTGATGTGTTCGCAGAAATCGTCTGACAGCCATGACTGAGTTCTTCTGCTTGTGTGGCATGGTTCAGAGTCCTGTTTTCAGACATAGGGTCTTTCAGTAGCCACCCTCTTGGCTCAGGGCAGCACTACCTCTTCAAAGCACTTGATGCAAGTTTCCGTGTTGAGTTTGAGGCCCTGTGAGAAGATGAAGGGAGGCATAATGTTGCCATCACTAGTGATCACCCCAAACACATTTGGAATCATCCAACTTCTTCTGAATCCTCTGCACTGTCCTCAGATTGACACCCTAATATTTGGAAATGTTTGTATTGGAGCTTCTGGTGCAAATGCCAAGCAGTACAGAATGCTGTTTCCAAATTTCTGGTGACGTGAATTGCAACATGGTGCTCTTTTTTCTCACAGGCAGTGCCCAACTGACCCTACAATATTGTCAATCAACAAAATAAAAAACAAACGATGCACATGTGCAAAATCAAAAATATAAAATGGTGACAATCGAACCCTGTATTAGAATTTTAGTCATTGCTTTTTTAAACAATAAACATTGCCAAGGAATGAAGATTGTTAAAATAATAATGGTATCAATGAAAAAAAAACATCCTTTTGACTCATTGTTTTTTTTTTCTGGCATGAGGGTCTAAGTTTGCCAAAATATCGAACAATATTTAACAAACAGAGAAGTGTAGACAGAAATATGTACGCAATTACCTTTTGGTCCCGGTGGATGACATTCCCAGAATGTAAGTACTTAGTGGCTTTTAAGAGTTGGTACATGATGTAACGCTTGTGAACATCTTTCAGAATGTTTCCTCGCTTTATAACATTGTGAAGGTCAGTCTCTGGCAAGGGAATAACAATAAAAATAAAGTCAAAAGTAAAAAGTTTTTCTACAGAAATTTTCAAAAGAATAATTTCAAAGACATTAAATATGGCTTTCTTCAAAATAATTTCTTCATTGTTTGTACATGTTTCGGCAGTGTGATCTCCATTCTTCCTCAGGTGCTGGCTGCATTCCAGAATGTTGTTTACTTTAAAATAATTTATTTTCTGTTTGTAGATGTTTTGGTTGTGTACACTTGTAATGGTCCCCCCCTTACTATTGACAAGAAAAAAATGGAAGTGACAAAACAACAAAAGGAGATAAGACAAGACTGAGATAAGCGAAAAGTTTTTATTTCCCAAGTTTCAATTGTTTGCTTGTTCTGAGGTAATGTATATCAGTTGCAGGCAACTGAGAGTTTGTCTGGAGTAGAACACAAGATAGTAGTCGAGGTTGACACATGGAGAAAATCAATTTGCAGTTGAGTGAGATAGACTCAAGGAAGAAAATCAACACAAATTAGTGCATTGTAGTACTTGTATGTTAGTCTCTGCCACTGCTGGTTTCTGCCCTGGAGAAATTGCCTAGAATATCTTACATGCAGCTTTTGGTCACATTTTCTTCAAGTGAGCATTAACCTCCCCCCCCAAAAAAAAACAAAGATTAAGACAATATTCTGTAGAACTCTACACAAACAATGACTGAAACACCTAGACAGAATTCAGACAATATTTCAAATGTCCAAGAAAAGATCATCCAAAAATATTGACTCTGACTCAAAATAATCCAACAATGTTGAATATTTCAAGAACTGGTGGCATGTTTTTGATGTAATTTGGCAAAGAAATTAGAAGAGACCTTACATTCATGCACAGGCACTCTCCTCTAAGACTGCCCAACAAACAGTTAAATGCCATTGTGTAAGCATGTATAGTGTGCATCAGTGATGTGCAGAGGTTTGGTGATGTTTAGTGATGCCCGCGGTCAACTCCTTCATTTTATGCCCCTAAGACTCAAGTAGATGGAGGAGCTATAGGACCTAGTACTGAGAAATGTGAGAAAGGAAGACATTTTAAATATGTAAAAATGGATGAAACATGAAATAAACACTTTATTCAAATTAAATACAAACTTAATTTTTATTTCACTCTTCAACTGGCTGTCCTTCCAATATGGATGCTCAGATCTGTTGCACCCTGTGCACCCACTTCTGCAGTTACTGTATCTAATATATATAAGTGTAATGGGTGAATATACATTAAATTTTGTTTGAAAGTTGAGACATTCATTTATGGGAAATCTTTGAATGATTAAAAGAGGTTACATTTTTGGCAACTTCAGTCATCTTCTCTTTGTTGCTTTTTTTTATAAATATTCTCATGACAGTTGTTCTAATGAGCTCTCCGCTTTAGTACTTTGTCTGCTTGAACTTAAGCATACTACTAAATTGGCAACTAGGTCACATCGTTTTATTATTGAATTAGCTACATGAAACCATGTGTTTTAATCTAATAGTTTCTTTTCTCGCACTTCTTACCTGTGGAACACTCTTACTATTTGGTGCTTCCCTGCCACCTACAATCTTCAAATAGTTGTAGTTAACTTCAATAACAATCTTCTGTTTTTCTGAATCCTGTTCTTTTATTGTCCTTTCTCCTCACTTTTAATTTCTCTTTCACCCCGAGTAACCACTTGCGTCTTTGTGGCATTACCGTTTTGCTTGGTGGTGAAATGACTAAAAAAAAATGTTTAATATTTTTTTTTTTTCACAAGATCAAGGGAAATAACTATTTTACACGTGTCTAGCAACAGTTATTTCCCTTTAAAAATGATAGCCGTTATTTAGAAATTTAATATACAGTGACTAGGAAATTAAACTTTGTAATGATTAAATGTTACTCATTTTGTAGACAGATATCACTAAACAATGCTAAAAGAATATGTGAATATGAATAAAAATCCCAGAAAAACACTCTTCCTATATTGATGGTGTAGTGTAGGTTGATTAATTGTTTGTTTTATGGCATATCAACTCCTTATGGGTCATTTAATGCTGAAATTTAATTTTCTTGGGACTTTTGAAGTAATAAAAATATGATATGTTATTCTGCTTTCACAGGTGAATACATGGTAGATGATACTCAGCTTTTGTGCATAAACATGCTTGTGTGAACATGATTACTAGAGGCAGTGATACTGTGCTTTATGTTGCAGTTTTATTGAAATTATATTTTGGAATACAGTTTGATTTCTTTAACAAATTGTAGGATATTTTGTGGATTAATGTCATTAAAGAATTCTTTTATGTTAGTTGGTTGGTTCCTTGACTGATTTCATTTAATGGTATATCAACACCTCTATGGGGTATTTAATACCAAAATCTAAATATTTTGAACACAATTTCATGGCTTCAACTAAATATTTTGAATGCAATTGGATACCTTCAACTACAGATAAAATGCATTGTTGCTATAAAATTCATTTTTGGTAATTCTATTGTATTGTTGGTCATTTTACTATAAATAGGTATTTTTATACCTTCATAGGTTTTTGTTTGGGGTATCACTATTCGCCCATAGCTGGGACTCTGACAGGTCCTACAACCCCAGGCCAGAATGGACCTGAGAACAGCAGCAATTCAGAGGTGGTTTCATGCTCCTCAAAAACTTCAATCTCCCAATCAGAGGCCTGGCTGCCGGACGTAGTTTATTGTCATACCCAGGACTATGCTACACTTGAAGTTAATAGGGAGAAATACAGCTAAGTTACCACCTCTTTCTTACCCACAGTAGAGGGTCCATACTCCAGATGTATGAGTTTACTCCATAGTAAGTTTATGAAACAGGCCTGTTACTGCAACAGCCTAATCTTTTGTTTTCACTTCCTTTCTTCTACTTTTGCTTATAACTTGTTCATTGGCACAAAAGAATAAGCCAAAGGTCAATAATCTTTTATCATTAGTTGTCAAAATGAGAATCCAATGACAGGTATGAGGGATACTATTGATAACAATCATGAATTCTCTAATCCACTCAGGTGGTAGGGACACCATATTTCTATGGTCATAGCAACAGTGGGTGTGTCAAGGCTAAGATTGCTTGACACAAACCACCCCACTTTTAGATGGTTCTAAATTCAAGTGGGTTGAATGCAGAGTTTTCCTTCTCCTAAACTGGTTGTCCTACCAAGGATAAAGTGCCAAATCTGACATATAATTTTCAGGGTTATTGAATTCAAAAGTGTCATTATCCTAAACTGGTTGTCCTATAAAGAACAAAGTGCCAAGTCTACCCTATTATTTACAGGTGGATTGAATGCAGAGTTGTACTTCTCCTAAACTGGTTGTCCTATCAAGGACAACGTTCCCAGTCTGCCCTATTATTTACAAGTGAATTGAATGCATAGTTTTCCTTCTCCTAAACTGGTTGTCCTACCAGGGATAAAGTGCCCATTCTGCCTTATTATTTATAGGCAGTTTGCATGCAGAGTTTTCCTTCTCCTAGACTGCTTTCAAACCAAAGCAAGTGAGCCCAATCTGACTTGCTACTTAAAGAAATGGAGGAAGTTGGATTTGTGACATTTTCAAGGGCATTAATGCAAAGTGACTGCAACAGGCTCAGTCAGAATTTGAACTCGGTATACAGATTCCATTTTCTGAGTCAATAACCATTATGCTATCTGCACATCCTAAGAGAACCATATTCATCTCCTAATTTATATGCTTATATCACTTGTTTTGCATATGTAGAAAAGGGAATTTGCATAATCTTACCCATGAACTCAAATATGAGATAGATGTCTCGGTCATTTTCGGCTCTGATTACTTTGTGAAGTTTTATGATGTTGGGGTGTCCAGCAAAGTCTTGGAGGAACATGATCTCTCGAAATGTCCTCTGAAACAGACAAAATAAATAAACTATTAGAAAACAAGAGAGATAAGAATAATAAGCACTTAAAACAATAATCTAGTCAAATTCCATCTTTTATTTATGTGTTTTCATTTTTTAACCAATGCTTTAGTTCTCTTCTCTTTTTTGTGCAAGACAAAGTTTTAGAGGAAATGGAAACAAAAACAACACTTACACTTAATATCAGGAAGAGACAGTTGAAATTTCTAGGACACATAATGAGGAAAGAGGGCTTGGAAAATTTGATACTTACAGGACAGTTTGAAGGTGAGAAGGACAAAGGGAAACAATGCATAACCTACCTAGTGAACTTGTGTAAATGAATGACAGAACGGGGTTTAGGAGATATAACAAAAACACAAAATTTATTAAGATCTACAAAGGACAAGAAATTGTAGAAAGCTATGATCCCTAATGTTCTGTAGGGACATGGCACATAGAAAAAAAGTGTAACTTAATAAACCGTTTTTCTTCGGTGTCCACTTGACAAAGAGATATTTTGTAGTTAATGGTATTTGAGTTTTTTTTCGATGGAGTGGGGGAGAGAGAAAACAAGTTTTTCTACATGGATTTCAAAATGCTTTCTTCATCTTTGTTATTTTTTGACATAATGTTTCAGTTCTCTCTCTAGCCTTCTTCAGTTGTATGCTGTATCTTTTGTAGATTATTTAAAACCAGAAAATATTTTTAGATCGTAAGAATAATTTTTTCAAAGATGATAGTGATTTACTGACACAAGTCCAACTAATTAACCCATAGTTGGGAGGAGAAGAGGTAGATTCACGCCCTTCCCAAGGATATTTGTCCGTAAATAAATATAACTAACCCAACTCTTCAATTTCCAATTCTAAGTCATTATCCATTACACCACCTACATATCCAAGCTTACAACACCTGGTATATCCAAGTGGTCACTCATCTAGGTACTGTATGTGTGAGTGTGTGTGTCTTATCCCCACTGCATGATGTTATGTACAGTACATTAATTAAAATGATTCTGAGTGATCAGTTCTTCAAACTCTTTGTCCCAAACTAAATGCCATTCATACACAATTCTCATTATTTTATGTGAATGCTATTTTATTTAGTTTGCTAATTCTTTAACAGATAGTTGTGTGTTTGGATAAACAGAAGTAATTTGCTTATCAGCTAAAACAGTTCACTTAAGAGAGTAGTGAACTGAAGATTTAACTCCCAGATATCAGCATTAGCATCAAATAGAGCCTTGTGTAAATGAATATTTAGTGGATAATTACAAGATTTCTGAGTATTACAAAATGCATGCTGATTCTGAAATGCAAAATTGAAAAAAAAAGTAAGCATCAGACTGTAGGATGCTGGGAAAATATCTGAAAATTATTTTGGAAAAAAATGTTCTTTGATGTGAGGAAATATGATGGCTTAAATGACAATAACTGTTACTGAATGAAATTCCTAAAGTTTTTAAGAGATTGGGCATTACTGGTTAAATGTGCCTGAGTTAAATTGGCTGGTAAAGAAATAAGCAATTTCTATGTAAGATAAAAAAATGCAGAAGGGGAGTAAATGAAAGAGGGAAAATGAAAGGAAGAGAGAGGAGAAAGATAAGTGAAGAAAGAAATGGAAAGAAAGAAAATGGATGGAGAGAAGAGAAGGACATAAGAGAAGAAAAATAGAAATGAAGAAAAAGAAAGAAGAAAAGAAAAACAATAGTGAGAAGAGTGGGGATGAAGAAGAAAAAGAAAGGTGAACAAATAAGAAGTGGAAAGAAAGAAAAAGATTAGAGAGGCCTGATAGTATTAAGAGAAGAAAAAGAAAGGTGAAGAAGATGAAAAAAGTGGAAAGAAAGAAAGAGATTAGAGAGTAGAATAAGAGAAGAAAATGAAAGGTGAAAAAGAAAGAAAAAAGAGGAGAAATAAAAAGGAAGAGAATAAATAATGAAAAAAGTAGAACCAACAAGAAAAGTAAGTAAAAACAATTTACTTGTGCATCTGTTTGGTTACGGAAAGCATCAAAAATCTTTTTAACAGCCACAATTTCTCCTGTTTTTTTGTCAACTGCCTTCCATACAATACCATAGGCCTGTAACAAACAAATCAACAAATGGAAAGTGTGAAAAAAAAAGCAAGGACAAATAAATAAACAAGAAAAAACAAAGAATCATTTAGAGGCATAAACAATAAAATTCAAAACCCTCATTCCAAATCTTAATACATTGATGAGAACATTTAAACCCAAATTAATTTATCTCCAGTGACAATCTAAGATGAAGCATTGTCATTATTTTAACAATTTTTCCGACTAAACAATTTTGATGTGTTCTTCAGCATTTTTCATTATGAAGAGGATTGTACCTACATATTTAATGAATATTTTATTATCTATAACCTTATTATTATAATAATATTATTATGCTGGTATCACACAATGATATAATAAATGGAAATTTTATTCTTGAGGCATAATGTCAACAAGATTCTTCACAACTCAAGAACTTTTCAGAGAATTCTTGTAGAGTAAATAAAGTCTTCTGGAAGTTTACAATTTTGGTCTCGATTCTAATTCTCACCAAGCACTTTTTCAGTTTTCAAGTTAGTGTTCCAAGCACACCCACTACTACAGGAATTAGTACTACAGTTATGTTCCATAGTTTCTTCAGCTCTCTAGTTAGATTCTGGTATTTTTCTATCTTTTCAGTTTCTTTGGAGACAACACTTGTATCATATAGAATAGCAAAGCCAATAATTTGACAATTATTATTGTACTTATCTTCAATGATGTGATCTGTCGAGACTGAGAAATCCCATTAAATAAATAAGAAAAATAATAACACAGTGGAACTTCGGTTCACAAATTTAATTCATTCCTGAAGGCTGTTCGTAACCTGAAATGTTCATAAACTGAAACAATTTTTCTAATAGGAATCAATGTAGAGAAAAAATCACAGTACAATAAAATTGGAAAAGAAAAGCACGGCACAACATATGAATGTATACAAGACAGCGGTCAAATCAGAAATTATTCCATTTGAGTTAGCTTGGTTCAGCAATGTTGTTTGAGAACCAAAATTTTGTTTGATAACTAAGACATTTTCATCTCAAATTTTCTGTTTGAAAACCGACATGTGAGACGTTCAAGAACCAAGGTTGCACTGTAATAATAATAATCATGTGTGACATTTTTGAAGTTTTCACTTCAATATCCTTGTATTATGATAATTTTTTTTAAGATCTTCAAAGATACATTACAGTCTGCAAGAACTGCTTTGCAAAAAAAGATGCATAGTCTGTTTTGTTGGTCATTGATCACAATGTCTGGGAAATTAGCTTTGATTTTCTGTATTAGTTATTATTATTATTATTATTATTAAATAATATATTATTATATTCATCTATTATATTATTATAATCTTTTATTATTATCTATAACATTATATTTACATATTATTATTAATATCTATAATCTTATAGTATTATTATTATAACCTTACATTATATCATTACATTATTATCTTATATCTATATTATTGTTATTATTACCAAAGTGTGGTAAAAGATATTGATTTATTTTCCATATGATCTTCATTGCAACTTCTGTAAATGATTCACACACTTTTTTTTTTTTATTTTAACTCGACAAGGATAAGGTTGTGGGAATAAAATAAATTGAGTCTGAATATAAATTATTTCTCTGAAAAACTAAATCAAACTTGTCATTCAACAGGCATCAGAAGTATATGAAATTGGGAAATCCATCATTATATAGAATGCCTTTTATAGGCAATGTATAAATTCAAATCATCAGTATGTATTTTCTAGTTATTCTGTAGATCAGAGTTGGTCAAATTAGAGCCCTGATGATTTTATGTGGCCCACAAGAACACAACAAACAATTTTGGTATTTTTTGGTTACATGTTGTAAAAAGTAATCTATTCAAAACAGGAATAAAGACAACAAATCCAAACTATAACACTTAATAGCAAACCCCCAATTATCAGGAAACAAACTTCCTTTGACCTATCAAAGCTATGTAAAACAAGAGGCATCTGGATCTCTATGTTCCATACATTTCTGATGTCAATGCTCAATCAGTGTAAACAGATGCAGGGATCTAGGCGCCTGTATGTACACAGGATGTCATTTCTGGGTGTGGCTATAAACGTCTCACAAGATTTTATTGAGAATTTCTCATTTTTGTAAAATATTTTTCTCAGATGTAAAAATCTTGTTAATAGTAGCAAATGTATTAACTGTTAAACTAATTTCTCACATTAGTGTATTTTTCCCCAAAAATTTGGCTAATAAGCAAATAAATGTACAAATAATGTGTACATATATGGTTATTATTGATAATGTTGCTGTTAAAATCAGGGTTTTATTGTAATATGCTCACTTTACTAAGAATAAAAAAAAAATGATGTGGCCCTCCAAGAAAACAGTTTATTCACCCCTGCTGTAGATTATCAAATTTGTTTTGTGTAACATTTGAAATTACCAAAGAGCATTCACAAAAGAATTTTTTTTCCTTTTTTGTGCACTACAAGGCCCAAGAGCCATTCAAGGCAGAGGATTACTGATTGAGTCTTGTGGTATGGATATAAGAGGAGGAAGTAGGAAGTGAATATCATGAGGATATGGCGGATAGATAATGAGTGACCCTAATCTTGAAGAGATATTTGAATGTAGTTTCTGTAGTCTTTGCAATGGAATGCCTTTCAGTTTAAAATTGTCAAGATACTTGAAAATATGGTAGTCAGTGGGCAAGAGATCAGAGGAATATGGTGAATGTGTCAAAGTGTCATATTCCAAGTCAATGAGCTTCTGCAGTGTCATCCTGGAAACATTTGGTCTTAGCATTGTTATGAAATGGAATTGGACTTTGTCAATTAATCAGTGCCAGTTGCATTTTGCTTAACTGAATGGGCATCTCATCCAGTCGGCGGTAGTAAACTTCAGAAGAGAATGCTCTGGTTAGAAGCAGTAATGGATAGTGTTGATGGTGGACCACCAGACAATCACCATAATCTTCTGTTGATGCAATTTTGATTTTGAAAAGTGTTTGGGTCCTTTGTCATGATCAAGTCATTGAGAAAGTCATTTATGATTGTCATAAAGGATCCATTTCTCATCACAATTCACAATTCAATCAAGAAATGGATTATTTGAATTTCGCAGATGCAACATCAAACACACTTCAAAGCACCAAGCTCTTTGACTTTCACTGAGTTATTTGGGAACCCATTTATTGAGTTTCTTCACCTTGCCAATTTTCTTGAGATAGTCTGATATTGTTGAAATGCTGACGCCCATTGTCGGAAATATTTTTCTTTGATGTGGGTTTTGTTCAGCTAGTGTTTTCAGATATTGATTGTCAATTGAAGATGAACGTCTTCTACCACATTGATCTTCAAGACTCATATCCCTTCTGTGGAGATTCAGAAACCAGCATCATACTGTCTGGTCACAAGTGGATCCTTCACCATATTCTCTGTTAATGTTGGCAGCAGTTTTAGAAGCATTATGACTAAACTTGAACTCATGCAAAAAAAAGTAAACACATCGCTTTTTTTTTTATCATGTTCAAAATGAAAGGGTATATAATGTTTTAAGTTAAATTCTGAAAGAGATTGACATAACATTAATAAAGAGGACACTTTAATCATTAGGAATTCATCATACATTTTTGTGCAACTATTATAATAATATATTAAAATGTAATTAAATGGTTTATTCTAAAATTGGACATTATTTTCTGAACAGAATTATATTAGTAGAAAGGAAAACCTCATTAAAAAGAAAGATTTCTTGTATGGCAGTGAATTCTGGAAATTCTCTTCATAGATGAAGAAAAGATTTTAAGTGACAGAAGTGTAATTCTGCAGACAACTATGAAGAATACCATGAACAGAACAGTAACGAGGTTTTAAGGAAAATAAGAACTTCAAGGAATCAGAAAGTGAGTAAGTTGAAACTCTTGGAACACATTATGAGAAAAGGAAGCAGGGAGAATTTAACACTCACAGGACATACTGAAGGCAAGAGAAGCAGGGAATAAAGCAAGTAATCTACTTGACAAGAATAAAGAGGGATAATAAAGTTGCACAGTTTACTTAGAGCTGCAAAAGCTGGAAGCTGTAGAGAACCATGATCACCCATTTCCTGAAAGGGTAGGATTTATAAAAGAAGAAAAATAAAGTATTATAGTGATGCAGAAGGCAATTAAATTCCTTATGACAGGAAAAATTTACTTGGTTGGTTGTGTTTATTTGGTGGCATATCAACCTCTATGGGTTATTACATTCTGAAATCTAAATATTTTGTATGTAATATTGTTTTGTTTTTTTCTTTAGATAATAATTATTCAGTTATACAAGTCCTACTAATTAACCCATAGTTGGAGGGAGAAGAGGTGGATTCATACCTTTCCCAAGAGTATTTGTGGGTAAGTGAATATAACAAACCCAACTAGAACTGGAACTTGGCTCTCTGAATAACAATTCCAAGCCACTATCCATTACACCATCTGCATTTCCAGCAGTCACCCATCTAGGTACTGGCCAAGCTCAATGTTGCTTAACATTGGTGATCATACAGGAATTAGTATTTCAACATGATATGGCTGTAAGCCTGTAATGTTGATTGCAAATCCAATGGAATAGAAAATATATAAGACAATTTGGAATATTTTTCTGACACCAATTTAGTGGAAGAACATATTAAAGTAAAATTTTCTGAATTGTAATTCTTATGAATTTTATTTATAATCTGACATTATTTCTTATTACTCTAAGGTAACATGTGGCTGAGTGGTGTAAAGCACATCTAGCTTAAAGGTGGTTTCACAAGGTAAGGGGAATGCAGGTTCAAATCCTGTTAAAAGGTACAACAGTATTAAGATGCTCAAATGCCCAAGCTGCTAAACATCATTTTCAATTACACTGTTCTTAAAAAAAAAAAAAAAAAAAAACAAACAAATAAACAAAAAAAACACAGGAATGTATACTCAAAGACACATAGCCACTAAATACAATGTTTACAGTAATAATATATACATTTATATATCTCTCTTCTGAGATGCCTTTCATCTCTCACTCTATAAAGCATGGCAATTTTCTTTCTACATGATGTGGGCATAAGCAATAATGGCATCTCAAATTTCCAAGAATTGGTTCTATAAAGGCAGGTAATCTTTAGGAACCTATTCTGCTTATTTTTTTCTCAATCTGAGAATGGAAACAAATCACTTTATAGTATCAAAAAGAATTAAACCATTTTGATAATTTAATAGAAAACATTTATTTATTATGATATTTCCAGATTGAAATTCTGTTCTCATAATATTTCTGTTCATAAGCATAATGTGTTTTTTACTCTAGTGTCTCCAGCTGTGTTAGGGTTTCTTAGTCACCTGAATTGCTGCAGTACCAAAGATCAAATGAAAGACCTATCAAATTTATGACTAGATTTACCACATTTTTTACTTCAAGATGATTTCTTTTATCAGAATAAATTATGATCATCACTGAAAACCCTTTCAGTTTCCACAAAACTTACAGAAATGGTATACATTATGTTCTTACCTATTATATGTATCAGCTATTAATATATAAGATTATTTTCGGATAATCCTACAACCGGTTTGCATGAACTTGTAGAATGCCACCACTGGGCATAAGCCTGAAAGAGCATGGTTTATAAAAGAAGAAAAATAAAGTATTGCAGTGATGCAGAAGGCGATTAACTTCCTTTTAATAAGAAAAATTTTCTGATATCTTAAAGGGTTTTTGAGGACTATTGCTGAGAATATTCAGTTGTTTTGCTGCCTGTATAGGAAGATGCACTTTCCAGACCTCCTAAAGAGAAACTGAAGAGATATCACCAGAGCTTTATTGTTTCTCTCATGAAGATATTCCTATAACCTAAGTGCTTTTTAGAAGTGTCAAAATTTCTGGATAACAATCTGTATCTTTGACCCCTGATAAAACTAAAAAAACCCAAAGATATAAGAACAGAGGAGATTTGTTTATTTTCAGATTTTGGGGGCTCAATTTTTTGAGCCTCTCTAGTTATGGTGGGGGTCTTTTGAATTCGATGTGGCCCTCGAAGGAGTCACATTTAGATTTTCATGCATCTTTTCAATATACATACAGATTTTTGATGTTGCTCTTTTAGTTTTGAATAATTTTATCTACTTTGCTCAATGTTTGCTCAGTTTTACACTTCATTGAACACAGACATATAATAAAATTGCTCAATATTACACAAATTAGATAAAATAGTTCATCATCTAAAAACATATCTTTTTTTATGGATAGCAAACTGTAATAAAGGGGGCCCAAATTCTGTTAGCCTATGGAACTCTTAAGGCACTAAATACAAGGTACACAACTAAATTTTCATAAAATTTTCCTTTTGTGCATTTTATTAAAGGTGAGATAACCAATTCAAAAACCATCCTGGGTATTACAATAAACTACATCCATGTCCAGGGTAAGACGATCAACTACATCCAACAGCGGGGCCTCTGATCGAGAGGCTTTGGGGAGCATGGAGCCACCACTTGGTTCCTGGTGTTCCCAGGTCCACCCTGACCCGGGGTGGTGGCACCTGTTGGGTTCCCAGATATGGGCTAGTGGTTGGCCCCGAAACTGTGGTAAGAAGCATTATGAAAGTGTGAAACTGGGTTTTAGTGCAAGAAATGCTTTGTAAAAAAATTATTACCAGAAATAAATTTTTGAAGAAGAAAAAGTATTACCAGTGATACATTTTTGAAGGAAAATTATTGCCAGCAATACGTTTTTGAAAAAAAAATATTACAAGCAATACATTTTTTGAAATTATATTACCAGCTATACATTTTTGAGGGAAAAAATATTACCAGAAATAGATTTTTGACAAAACAAAAATATTACCAGGAAAAATGTTGTCGGCATTAAATGACCCATTGAAGTTGATATGCTGTAAAACAAACCAAACCAATTCAAAAAAATAAAAACATGGCTCATAAAAGCAGATATAAATTATCTAACAGCCTTGACAAAGATATAAATTGTTTAACGGCCTTAAGTTTCTATAAAAAAACAGCCTTGGTTCATCCACTGATGACAGCCCAAATTCCTTGGCCTTCTCTAGCTTGGGTCCTTACTTCTCCATATTCTTCTGGATCCATATACCTTAAATCTTGAGCCATTCTATTTTTAGAAGGTTTAATGAACAAACTTAGATTTATTAGTTAATTTTTTTATTAGCTGTCTGGCTTTCTTTTAATCATTATAAACACTTCTCTGATGAAATTCATTTAATTTTTTTATCTACACTTTCTTATTAATCATTTATTTAATTTACATTTTCTTATATAAATTTTTACATTCTCCCTTCAAGAGAAAGAGCAATAAACAAACTTAGTTTATCATATTATTTTTAATTATTTATCATGGACAGATGTTCCCTCAGGAAGCCATGTGCCTTGAGCATCTAATGGGGCTTAGACTCACCCTAAACCTCAAGTGAAATTGATACATATAATATGTTGCTAAAGATGCTGGAAAAATAGTCAGTTCCCTGTACCGCTCCAGCGAGTAATTGACTCCACTTACTACCCTGTACTTTTACGAGAGTAGGATCAGGCTGAAAATCAAGTACTACTGCAACATTCAAATGATCAGAAGTGAAGACTGAGCCTCCCAGTCCAAAAGTGTCTCCGCTTCCTTGTAGGTGACAAAATAATTTTCCACTCTGCAACCCCTTTCTCAAAGACAAGACATCGCAAATCTCTCACTGTTCTATCACTATTTCCATGGAGAGTGATCAAATGAACTACACTCCTTAGTTCCACCATTTCTAACCTTCACGGCTAAGACCTACCATGTCATGCACATTGTACCAAACCACCCTCATTCCCTTTGTATTCTTTTGGTGAGGTCTAAGTTTGTTATACTGGAACACACCTATTCTATAGTTAATAGACTCTCCCACCTATAATAAGTAGGAGTAGTAGTAGCAGTCGCTGAGTCAAGAGTGAGTTGGTCAGTCAGTTGATGTCGGATGACCGTTAGTCGGATATTAAAGTATCACCCACCACAACTAGATTGCTGCGTCATTAACTATTATATCAAGTTTGTAACGTTTTGTACGTCGAAACCATTTTAGGATTGATTTAGTACAAATACAAGCCTCCACTGTGAAACCACTACATAACAAAGTTCCACTTGAGCAGATGCTTCCCACAAACTGCTGCTTTGTGGAAATGACTCCCAAGAGGTTGCGTCCTTGATCACTACACTCTTAACCTGTTCATGTCTAGGGTTAACCATTATCTTGCACACAGATCCTCATAAGCTGTGCCTCTTATTCTGTAATCCTCTACCTAGAGTGGCCCTCAGGATTTGTATAGGGTGAACATCATTGTAAAAAAATAAATAAATAAATGTCTATATTTCTGAGATGAGGTATTATGTACACTATTTGCATTATTTGGACTATTGTCCTCATCTTTGTCACCATATTTATTACATTGTTTTGGCCGTTGTATGCTCCGACCTTCTTCTGGAATGTCGAACTGAACCCTTTATTTCACTCACTGGGGTGAACTTAACCAGGTATTGAACTCACACTCTTTGGGTCTTAAGGCAGTGGAGAACTTGGAGAGGGGAATTAACAGGAGATAACTAATAACTGACATCCATTAAACATGGTATGTGGAACTAGAACAGTCTACTTCAGTGAGTGAAATAAAGGGTTCAGTTTGACATTCCAACCACCTGAAGAAGGCCGGAGCGTACAACAGCAGAAACGTTGTGATAAATATGGCGACAAAGATGAGGACAATAGTCTGAATAACGTAAATAGTATAAATAAATAAAAATAATATTTTAATTAATTATTTTGCATTACTTTCTTATAAAATTTTTTATATACCTTCATATAATAACTGACTCCCATATTCCATTACCGATAAGTAAGTTCTGTATGAACCACTGCTCTGTGGAACAGACCTCCCAAGAGGATATTTTTCTGATCACTACAATCTTAATTTGTTCAAGACTAGAATTAACCATTATCTTCCCCTCCTATCTGTATAAACTGCTCCTTAACTGAACTCTCTACCTTGAGTGGCCCCTGGGCCTTGTGAACCTTCTGTAATGAAGGTGTGTGTGTAATGTTTTTTTTTTGTTTTTTTTACAGAAATTCAAGCACCATTGTGAAGAATTGAAGATCAAACATAATCAATGTCCATTAGTCACAATGTTATTTTTTTAAACTGCTCACTTCACAAGCCGAGCATATTTTTCGTTGGGTTCGCCCCCACCACTTCCAAACACATACGCACACGCACGAATGCACACACATACGCACACACACTTACACTCATATGCTATGCATATATACGTTTTATCGCCAGACAGACACAGGTTTTGACACCTGTTAATTTAAACTACAAAAAACTCCGTATGGACACGTTTAAATTTTTTTTTTTTTAAATATAATGTCTTTTTATTCTTACTCACCCCTTTGCCGAGTCTCTTTTTGATTTCATACTTTTTCGTGATATGAGCTTCAATTTCGGTGGTCATGGTTTGAAAACACAAATAATAAAAAAATTAATTCTCGTCCCATAAAATCTCTGTTGAAGCCGCTTCGACTTGGGACCTTATTACACCCGATGTGTCCAACTGACACCTTCTGACTGACCTACAAATAATTCCTCTTGGTCTATTCAATATACTGAAAATAAAACATATATTTAAACAAAACCTTAAACGCAACGATCAGAAATAATATTTAAAATGAATAACCAGTAACAAAGCTACAAGATTCTTTCTGTACTTAAGTCCAATAGCAACTAAACAAACGGGCGAATGAATACAAAATTAATGTGAAGAGGTCATGTTTATATTTTGCCTAGCAACGTGTTTTGAAAATCAAGTTTAAATATTAATAGACCTAATTTGCTGGTCTTTTTTGGTGACATTTTATTGCTTTATTTTATAAAATTCAAAAGTAAAAGTGAATTTTACTAACTTCGATAAATCGGTTTTCATTTTTTTAAACAATTTTACTTCTCCGTTGTTCAGATGTGGATAGCAACGGACCGGTGTCAGGCATAGTAGTTAGCTAGAATATTGTGGACCGGGTTTTACCGAGTCTTTAAAGAGCAAAGATTAAATAAATATTATTAAATAGTTTACAAGATTAATTTATTATGATTTTACGGTATATCATAAGTTAACACATGATCTCAATTCATTATTATGTTGTTATAAATTTATAATAAATGATCGATATTTTACGCTTAGCTGCGTCAGGGACAAAAAAAAACTGCCCATAAAAATATTTAAAAAAACTAAGGAAGAAATAGCTTGATATACAAACCATCATTTGTCCATCACAGTGAATTTCTTTGAAGTCGAGTATAGTATAATACATATTTACTATAAGCTTATCTAATTTGGTACAGGGCCACACGTGTGCAGTGCACCTAGCAAAAACTGGATAAATTTGTAGGGATACCGAAATAATTATCTGCTTTTACAAATAAAATGTCACGTAACAATGTACAGAAAAATAAAGCCAGCCATTTTGTGTTCACATTTTTTAATCACTCAGGGCTTAGGGGATACCGGCTATGCATGGATATTTCTGACGAAACACAATAGAGGTTCGTTAACCCTTTCACCAGGAGTCTCTTTTCCCTGGCTATAAATAGTCGCTGACCCTTCGCCTCTTCCTCTTTTTCCCTCAGGCCTTTGGGCCGACACCTGGAGGTAAATCTCTTTTTCCTCAGGCTTTCAGCCTTATTACCTCGAAGATGTGAACGCTCACAAAGATGGCGTTTCCCAAATGCTGGGAACACGCTAAGCACAATACACGCACACACACACACGCACATATATAATATTCACACACACACTTTGTCCTTTGTAACTGTTTCCATGTAACCTGTTATTAATATATATATTTGTATACATATATTATCGGTCTTATGTTTGTTTTCTTTGCATTCTTTGGACTTAATTAAAGTCCAACCTTTTCATGTAGTTGGACCGGCCAGCAAGAAAATCTGAACCCCACACGTGTTCTTCTACGTCTACTCAACAACATCACAGCCACGGTCCACTACAGAGGCATCAATTGTAGGGACAAGTTGTGGCGGCACTACGTTTAACGATACTTCCAACGTACAGGATTGAAGTAATAACAAAAACTCCAATTTCTTAACCAACAAATATATATTGAATAAAAAAACAACAACAAGCATGAAATAATTTGTTATTCACAAAGTAGATTAAAGAGAAAGAAGTTATTCCTCTTTTTTTTAACTGTAGATTGATTTGTAATTAATTATTTGAAGAGAGTTCTTTTGTCAGATAAATATTCCGAAACAATTATTAGAGCAAAGTTTGCATGTTAAGAATGAATAACACGAAGAATACAATTGCTTGGTATGTGTTGTGAATTGTAGTGGGTCAGCCAATTTTTATTGGTTATAAATAGAAATAAAAACTGACCCTCTACAATTTTTACAATATCAAATGTAACAAAGACAACAACAAGAGAAATAATCAAGTAGAAGGTAAAGAAAGCAAACAAAACAAGACCGATAATATATGTATATACAAATATATATTAATAACAAGTTACAATACATGGAAACAGTACAAAGGACGAAGTGTGGTTGAATATTCTGTATGTGCGTGCGTGTGTGAATATTCTGTGTGTGCGTGCGTGTGTGAATATTGTGCTTAGCGTGTTTCCACGCTATCCCTTGTTAGCGACTACATTTCGAAGTTGATAGCTGAAAATCCTCTAGGAATAAGAGAGTTTACCTCAAGGTGTCAGTGCACAGGCCTGGAGGAAAAAGAAGGGAAAGAGGCCGAGAGTCAGCGGCTATTTATAGCCAGGGAAGAGAGACCCCTGGTGAAAGGGTTAACGGACTGAAGGAGGAGTTAACTCCGACAGAATAAACTGGTTTGAATCAACAACGTTCTGGTTCATTGTACTTGGCAAAAGTTACAGAGACAAAATGTAAGTTTGTAGTTACGAAATTCTGTGTCTGTGTGTGTGTTGAGATTCAAAGGAACGACTGCGATGGCTAAATTGTCCTATACAAAGGTAGTAGTAATTTATAAGCCAATCGCAGGCGAATAAAATGTGGGCGTGGAAAACATAGCAAATCGCTATACTATGACATTCAAATAAGAAGCTTTTTCTTTCCTTTATCAGCATTTCGCCTTGCTTATTATTTCCGATGTGTGATAACTTACTCGGCAACATGGGAAACTTAGTTTTTAATACTTCCAAATAAAATTCTGCCTCATATTTATTTGTATATAGTTGTTATATTCGTGAGGATTGTATATTGATAAAATGAAAAAAACAATACGATAAAAGAAATACAAAAAGAAAATAAATAAATAAAATAAAAAGAAGAATCTCCCAGGATTCCCCCTGACAGGAAGAACAAATGGCGCATGTGCGAGAAAAGATCGGCTTCCTGGCGCCAAAGACAAACAAGAAGAATCGTGTTTTTTTCCCCCTGAATATTCAACAGTCAACACGTGTTTTTCCTCGGGAAGGTATTTCCCCTCAACAGACCGTTGTTATGGTAAAGTTCCCAAATCCATTTCCAATGCATCGGCTTCCTTCTTCCCTTTGTACCTTTTATTTCAGGAACAACAAGAATTCAACGCGGATTTGGAGTTTGAATAGAATAACCCAAAGAAGAATAACCCCCCCCACCCACCCCAAAAAAAACTTCAAATATTCCAAGAGTAACTATGAAAATCTAAATCTCTACTGAAATATAAATTCTTGTGCCAAACACAACTAACAAAAATCAAGCCTACTCTACATATAACTTCCGTTATAAAATCAGGGCGACTCCATGCATAACTTCCGTTATAAAATCAGGGCGACTCCATGCATAACTCCCGTTATAAAATCACGGAGACTCAACGCATAACTTCCGTTATAAAATTTCTATGCTTCTCTTATCACTAAAAAAAGTTAAAACACCGCAAATAACAAGTCTCAACCACTATATAAAATCCTCAAGAAAAAAACATTTATTACGGTATAAACAAAAAAAAAAAAAAACAAAAAAAAAAAACGTACAAATTTTTCCAACCGCAGCAGAATTTTTACTTGTGAACATCAAAATCCCTTCGGCTCTCTGCAGCTGTCTTGTAACAATCTACCTTCTCTTCTGAACGCCTTTGCGACAAAATGCTTTCCCTGTGAAGTAAGTCCAAATACTTTTGTAGGAAAATCCTATATTCTTTTCAAATTCCATTAAAATAGGCTCAAAGCTAAAATACGGAATGACGCGTTCTGATTGGTTATTAAATGTGAAAAAAAAATGTGATGGTTTGTTTTCGACTACGTCCGAATTGAATGAAAAGACAGTCCCGCCAAGTCATTGTGAGACTATCACATGACGAACTTTTCTTATTTACTGGACACTTAAATCATTCCTTTATAGTGAGGAGGGAAATTTTTTACCCGATACCAGTCCATACGTGTCATTATTCCAATATTCAGTCTTAGGTGCATACAATCAAGGAGTTGGCACAGGGAATCACTAAGCCTCTTCACGTCACTGCTCTTTATACTATACTTTGGTATAGTGAGGCCTAAATAAAGTGAATAAAAGTGCATATAACTGCCATTTCCTGCCACAGAAGTGAGCTAGAAGGAAACTGATATCTGACGACATAAACTTGGACTCTCTTCGTTCTTTTGCTGAAACATTTTTGTCTCTCCTTTTTTTTCTTTGCTGTTTCTTTTTAATTCTAGCAATCACATCACTTTCTCCTGTTTGGTATTCCAAAATCAATGAAACAACAGAAAACCCCCACAAAATAAATAAAAACTTCAACACCACTCACCCACCCTTACATGAACTTTTATTACCCACAATGCTTTGGCCCGTGTCCATAAAAATCTTTCTCTTCATATACTAAGTTTCTTTGATGGCTTTCATTTCTTCCTCTATTCATTTATTCAAACCACAGGAACCTTTTTTGCCATTAAGAAGGGCCTAAAGGGATGTGCCGGTAAAGAAACTGATATTGGCGCGGAAAGTAGAATCAGCATGCCGAGCTCAAATTCCGAATTAGTTATGTTGAATTAATTTTTGCACCGATGTTCTTTCTTCTCCACTCCACTCCTAGTTATGTTATGGATATGTGTGATGTAGGGTGGTAGAATGTTCTCAGTTTTTATTTACCGGAAATTTTGGCAATAAAAGGACTGGATCTCAAGGGTATGAAATAAATATATTATTTATTTGTTTCCTTTAGGGTGAGTCCTTTGGTGTATATAAATGTTCGTTTATAAGGCGGATATTGGTAGTAGTTTGGAGAAATTCCATTTTGGTTTGGTACTCGAGAATTTAGAAGTCAGCACTTGATAGTAGTTGTAGTCATCTTAGAAATAGGTCAGTGTCAATCTGTGTTTTACTCGTCCATAAGAAATATAATTAGCAGATGACCCCTTGTTGTCACTCTTCTCATCTAGCTCAGAGGTGTGAACTTATATCCTTTTGACCTGGCTCTGTGACTCTGACGTGAAC